TACTGACAGAGGCTCAGCTGAAGGGCATGAACCCCTGAAAGGACCTTAGGGTCGTATTTATTATCAAGAACTACATGCACCCCTCAGCCTGGCCTTTTCTCTCTCAGCCTTCCTCAGCACACAAGTGATTTTCAGGCAAAGCACAGCCTCTCAAACAAAGATAAGCCCTCTGAGCCCCCAAGCCTGGAAACATGCGAGTTCCCAAGATATCTGCCCCACCAAATAAGGTTTGTAGCCTCTGTAGGGCACCAAAGCTAAAACATACATTGCTTCACTATAACTTGTTCACCTAGGGCAGACCCAAGTCCAGCCAGTCAGGCACTTGTATGGTGTAAACCAGGCAAGCTGTCAATGCAGTAGGATTTTCATGATCTCCCTTACTGGGAATTTTTATTATTAAGAACCAGTTTTGTACTACCCAGTCTTTTTCTACAACACATAGTACCAGGCCAGCCTTTGCATCTGGCCCCACACAGTCTTCTCTGTGCATGCTGGGCTGGAAGGGAAGGTGCCATGGTCTTCAGCAGGGCAGAGTACATGTTCCTCAGGGTGCTTGACCATCAGCGCACACGAGATCCAAAGGGAGCCAAAGTCAATATCCTACCTCGGGCCTGCAGCCAACGTACTGAAGTAACTCCTCATTTCTGGACGGAGACAGGAGAAACGGGGGGGGCTCTGCCTTAGAACATAGGTCCACAAAGTGCAGTCAAGAGACTTAACTGAGAGTGGGATTTCCTTTGATACGGGGGCACATTGAATGCCCTTTGCTTAATTTCCTGGGATGGCCGCAGGAGTTTGAGACCTATGGAAATAAAAGGAGGGAATCCCATCACCTGACAGGGCTTTTCAAGCCTTTGCTTTGGTGGAGCTGTGTTTACAGTGACCCAACAGGATCTGGACAGGGGCCTGGGACCACAAGGATCTCCCGAGCAATACACATCACACATCAGACCTCAGCATGCAGTTGCAGCTAAGGCCAAGTAGGCTGGTGAACTGTAGAGCGAGTGAAGCTTTGTTTCCTACAGATTTCTGCCATGTTGCTCCTCTCTCCTGCTTTCATTATCCCAGCTTCCTCCACCATTCCAAGAACAGCCCCATGACACATGCTATAGCTGGCCAAGGGGCTGTCAGTGCCAGCTGGCCAGCTGGTACAGACATTGACTGGCCAGCAGGCCACCTCAGCCAAGCCCCACTCCACTTTTGCTCAGCAAGGATGTTCAGAGGGTCTCTCCCCACCAGCTGTTGAGTCTCACAAAATTTAAAAGGGATCTGTAAGCTGGTACGTTGAGAACAGATGAGGGAGGACTAATGGACAGACAGACAGACACCCAGCTCAACCATGGAGACGTCCTTTCTGGAGGATGGCACTTCACGCTGCCAACGGCCACTGCCACTGCACTGGCCTGGCCTGGCTGGCCCTCCCACCGTGTCCTTGTGCTGCCCAAAATAGCCTCTTCTGTTTCAGTCAGGCTTTCCTCCCTGACCACATGCCCTCAGTGACAAAAATTACTCCAAAATTAGTTTCTCCCTTTGCATTTTGATATGAAGCAACATCTGACTAGAATTACTCCAGAGTTACTCTCACAGCCTCACCACAGGCAGGTGGACTTGAAAAAAAAAACCCTCCTCTGCTTGGTGCAAGCATCGCCACCTGGTTCAAAGGCAGCAGCAGTTTCTCAGCACTGAGGATTTGGAAATTGTTGGCAAGGGCCAACATTGCAACAGCATCAGCCACTCCACCATGGCGGGCACCATCTGCCTCCACGGGGTGCTGTGGGAGCACAAGGAGTCTGGCACCATTGCTGCCACCCTGAGGGCTTCCAGCAGCCAGGGATGGAGATCTTCTCCCCCCAAAACCACACCATTGGGAGCTCCTGACTGATCTGGGGCCACAGTGAGCAGCGATGGGGGATGGCAGCTGGGGTGGTGGGGAGAAGAAGGTAGCAGGAGGGGGCTGCTGATCTGGGAGAGGGCATGAGGTGTGGGATGGGGTCTGAAAGGTCCCTTCCAACCCAGACAGTTCCATGATTCTATGGTGGCAGCCCCGGTGTGGCTCCCTGGGCAGTGCTCTTACATCAGCCGCTCCACCGGTTTACAACACTCGCCCTTGAGCCTTGGCCCCGCAGCCACCCGTGGTGTGGACACGTTGCACAACACCCCCGGCCTCGCTCCCCTTCCCCGCCAGGGCTGCCCAGCTGCTGGGAGGCCAAGCCTTTGTGGCAATCTGCCGGTTCCTGACAGGGAGGAGAAGATGCTCCATCCACCCCCACCTCTAGCAGGTTACCAGAGGAGGTGGCAGGACCAGGAGGGGTCCCCAAGGACCTACTCAAGCCTGCTGGTAGAGGTGGGTCCGTGGTGGGGGAAGGAGGGAGGGCTGCCCCAGGAGGGACAGAGAAGCTTTGCCTCCCCTCCCGCAGCATCCCAGGGGTGCAGGAGCCACCACATCCTGTCCCAGAGGACCCAGGGGTAAATCCTGCAGCTGAATCAGCTGAATCCCCAGACCTGATGAGAGAGTGGGACCTACATCCCAGAGATGTCTGCCATGAATGGCACTGGTTTGGCAATGCTCCCTCAGGGAGAAACACCCCTGGAGCCTCTTTGCCATGCCATGGAGCAAGCTCTTCCTCACCCCTCAGCAAGGCGGGAGGGGTGGGAGGCTGTGGGGAAATCACAAAGACCCCTGTGCAAGGGCCCAGCACAGAGCTAAATATAGCCACTATCTCAGCTCCCCAGAGATAACAGCCTGTGTCCACAGCCCGCCACAACGCCCTGCCCTGGCTTCCACCTACCTTTGCTTTGGGAGCAAACACTGAGCAGCAGTTGTGAAACACCCAGCCCCTCTCATGGCAAACAGGGCTTGCACGGTGGGGGAGAAACGGGCCCCTCAGCCTCCTCGCATGCATTCCTGCCCTGGCGCTGGGGGGGCTGGCCAAAACCCCCACCGCTCAGAGGCTGACCCGCATCTCCCCCAGCTCCTTCGTGGTGCTGAGCAGCCAGCAACACGCAGAAGAAACCTACGGCAGAGGAAAGCGACAAGTGTTAAGTCAGGTCAGGGCTTCCTGGGCTTTTGGGCTCATCCTGTTAAGTTCCACCTGAACCTTTCTGGTGTCCCAAGATCAGGAATGCTGAGCCAGGCAGCGGTGGCCCTGCCTGGATAAGGGGAAGACCCAGGGGAGAGGGTCCACAGGCTGTGACCACTGTATCAGGTCTCTGCCTCAGGCAAATCTGAACATGGATGCCCTCATTCCTGCTGTAGACCCCATCACTGAGTCACACGTGCCGAAATCCCACTGTACCCTGGGCACACAAAACCTTGCTGTAAGTCTGCAGGTCTCCTGCAGTAGATATATCTTTCAGCTCTCTCTCTCTCCCCAACTTTAAATCTTATCACTGCCTTTATCTAAAAGGAGAGTTTAAAACAAAAAACGACATGGGTTTGGTTTTTTTTCCCCCTCAACAACAGCCTTTTGCCTTGCAGAGTAATTAGTTTCTGAAATGGCAGCTTCCAGCAGGAAGTCTCTGGCTTTAACAATAGCGCTGCGTGTGTTTCCACAAGTTAATTGAAAACAAATGTTGACACTTCAATCCTGCTTTTGTGCTCTGTAAGGGAGGCAAGAGAGAGCAGCATTGCTTGCAGCTGTGCAGCTAGAGGCCAGATGCGGGACAGAAAGAGGAAAATACTATTATCCCCACCGTTGCCGTGGGGAGAAGGTAGATGCACCATCCCCACCTCGCAGCAGGCTTTACAGCCTCCGCTGCTCGCCCATGGAGGGGGTGTTTGTGCCCAGGGCTCCTTTCTTGCTGGGGTGGCCAGCTCTGTGTCCACCTTTGCGTGGGTGAGGACATTGGGCATCTCCTCACCCGGCAGATCTTTCCAGGGTGTGGAAAACACCTTCCCAGAGAGGGATTCCCCTGAGAAGGGTCTCCGTGCCAGCTGCGTTTTTTCCTCCCGTAAGTCACCTCTATGAGAAAGTAGCTTTCTTTCCACTCCGCACTCACAAATATCGTCTGGAAAGAGGATTCTGGAGTATCCCCTGGCGATTTCCCCCGGGCACCAGCCAGCACTGCACTCACAAGCCGTGGCGAATCCCCCCTCCCCACCCGGCTCTGGGGCACCCAAACACCCCGGGCCAGCCCCGCCGAGAAGGTCAGTGCACCCAAAAAGGTCTCCCTGCCTCCAGAACACCTTCCTGCCGTTTTCCCTCTTAATTCTGCTCATCCCCGACGTCCGCCCCGCCCCGCTCTGCCCTCCGGGGACACCACCGTGGCACCGGCCAGGGGCTGGGAGCATCCCAGCTGGTCTCTTCGCGCCGAAACAAGCGACCCCCGCTCGGGGCTGGCTTGGCGAGATCCCTCCCGCAAAAGGAGAGGAGCCCCGGGCTCTGAACCCCCCGGTAAGCGCTGCCCCGTCCCGTCCCCGCTCCCCCGACGGGCCCGCCACCCCCCGGGCGCCCC